TAATATTCGGCAGTAGCATCAAAAGTTTGAAGGTGAACGGACGCTTGAGTCAGAACTTACAGTCCATTTGGAGTTTCGACTTTTTGTTTCGAGTGTTCTGGTGGTCACAAAAATGTTCAGACATTTTTATCTTTTTGACGAAGCATGATCTGAGGCTGAAAATTTTTGCGGACTTGGAGATCAATATTTGGCAGTAGCATAAAAAGTTTGAAGGTGAACGGACGCTTGAGTCAGAACTTACAGCCCATTTAGAGTTTCGACTTTTTGTTTCGAGTGTTCCGGTGGTCACAAAAATGTTCAGACATTTTTATCTTTTTGACGAAGTATGATCTGAGGCTGAAAATTTTTGGGGACTTGGAGATCAATATTTGGCAGTAGAATAAAAAGTTTGAAGGTGAACGTACGCTTGAGTCAGAAGTAACAGACCATTTGGAGTTTCGACTTTTTGTTTCGAGTGTTCCGGTCGTCTCAAAAATGTTCAGACATTTTTATCTTTTTGACGAAGCATGACCTGAGGCTGAAAATTTTTGAGGACTTGGAGATCAATATTTGGCAGTAGCATAAAAAGTTTGAAGGTGAACGGACGCTTGAGTCAGAAGTTACAGACCATTTTGAGTTTCGACTTTTTATCTCGAGTGCTAAGGTGGTCACAAAAATGTTCAGACATTTTTATCTTTTCGACAAAGCATGATCTGAGGCTGAAAATTTTTGAGGACTTGGGGATTGATATTCGGCAGAAGCTCATCAAGTTTGAAGGTGCATGGACGCTTGAGTGAGAAGTTACGATATTTTTTGGTGTTTCGACCTAGAATTAAGAGTGTTTCGGTTGATACGACATGGCTTCTCAAAACGATATTTTTCAACTTCTGCAAACAATTTTCGAAGAATTGAAGGAACTTCGACATGAATTCAAGATGCAACAGGCTGCTTTAACTCTCGCACATAATCAAATTCGAGAGTTGAAGGGATCACAGAAGAACGTGGAGAATGTGTTCAAGGATAGTGTGGGTGTGATGTGGGATGTATCTAAATCTGTGGATGACATCCAAGGGAAGGTATGCTCTCAGATGACAAGTGCGGATAGTCCTAGATTGCATGAGGTGGTCGAAAGCTTAGATTTGAAGATCAAATCCTACGCTGAAGCTACAAAGGCTGCTCAAATCTCTTTTTGTCAAGAACAAGAGATTGAAAAGTCCAACCAGCTTGCACGTAGGAAGAATGTGAGAATTTCAGGTTTACCTGAAATAGAGAATGAAGATGTCAAGAGTGTTGTCACCAAGTTTTTGGATGAAACACTTCAGGTGTCCAATGCGGAATTGGCTCAAGCTTTTCGTATTGGAAACAAGGGAGCTCAACCTCGTGGTATTATAGTGAAGTTTGTCAATCAAACTCAACGTGATGTTGCCTTGGCTAATAAGGCTATGTTAAAGGGACGTAGAATATGGTTGGATCCTGATCTGACTCCTCTACAAGTGGAAGTTAGGAGAAAGGAGCTTGCGAAGGTAAAAGAGGCTCAAGAATCGGGTTTTGTTGCTTATTTACACGATGGGAGAGCAATCGTTACTCAGAGGAGGAGGGTGTCGTCAACATAGCAATCCGAGAAGATAAGGGTGTTGGTGTGGAATATCCGAGGACTTTCAACAACAAAGTATGTGAGTGCTGCTCCGATTTGGAAGATGGCTGACGTCATCAACATTGTGGAGACTTGGGAACATGAAAGCAATACTATTGCTGAGTTGGAAGGGTTTACCTTGGTGGGGTCGACATGGAACCCGAGAAGACAACATGCGGGAAGCGGTCAAGGAGGTATTGCTACTTTCATCAGGTCTCATCTTCTACCTCTCATACATCTAGAAGCTCAAGATGTTGGTGGACAGTATCATTGGCTACGTCTCGGGGTGGTTGGAGGATCTTATTGCTATTTGGCAATTTGTTATTTTGCACCATTGTCCATGGGTATCTACTCAACACGCTTTTGCAACCGAAGTGAACCATTCCATCGGCTTATTGAAGATGTTCTTAGATTCCAAAGTAAAGGGGATGTCTTTCTTGCTGGAGATTTCAATGCTCGTATACGTTGTGCTCAATTTACTCAATTTAGTGATCCCTTGGCTTCTTCTATGTTTGAAGAAATTTACGATAGTTTGTGGTCTAGAACCTCTTTTGATCCTTCCACAAACTCTTTGACAGAGCACTTTTTGACATTTGGAGCCACTTGTAACTTGAAGGTTCTCAATGGAACCTCTCGCTTTCCCAACTCTCAGTCCAATACTTGTTTTTCCCCTACCGGTGCTAGCACAATAGATTTTCTCTTGTCTTCCTTGGTTAGTACCTCTCTGATCTCCAATTTTGATGTTTTGGATCCTCAACCTGAATCAGATCATGTACCTCTTTTGTTCACACTTTCAATGTCAAAATCAATCTCTACTTCACCTTGCCAATCTCTTTTAGCTTCTCCCAAGTTTCGCTTAGATCCTTGTAAAAGAGACCTTTATGCAGAACATCTACAAGATCTTTTGACTCACACCATATGGAGTCCAGATTCGCATACCGCTAGTTTACAGCTCATAGAATTGCTCAAAACTTCTGCATCGAAGTTCTTTTTGAGGCATGGTACTAGGATTGCTAAGGAGCTACCTTGCAATGGATGGTTTGACTCCGAATGCAAGCTAGCAAGGGCAAGGTCTGTTGATAGGTCTTTGGATATTCAAAGTCGACTTCTTTTGACAAGGATATACAAAGACTTGGTGAAGTCTAAGAAACAAGCTTTCTTAAGACGAAAGCAAGAATCTTTGACAAAGGACCTGATGAAGGATCCCAAGTCCTTTTGGAGACGATTAGCTACACCATCGTCAAAACCTTCTCTTGATTCCGAGTCTTTGGTAGCTTTTGCCGAAAAGCTCTATTTCTTTCCAGAAGCCACATCTATGCCATATTGCGAAGCAACACCTGGATTATTTTCGGAAGGAGAGGTGATGACTATTCTCCGAAAATTAGCAAATGGCAAATGTGAGGATTTAGATGGCTTGTCCATTGAACTTATCAAGTGGGGAGGAGATTGTATTGGACCGGTTCTCACTAAGCTTTTGGAAGATGCTATGGTTCATGGTTTTCCATCAACTTGGTCCATGCGGAAGATTGTTCCTATTCATAAATCAGGAAGGAAGTACGTGGTGACAAACTATCGCACCATCATGGTTGGTAGTGTTTTTGCCAAGTTATTTGGGAAGTTGGTAGAATCGAAGTTGAGCACATGGACAGAGGATTTTCAGAAGAGAGCAAAGGCCCAAGCCGGTTTTCGTCCTACATACAACACTATTGACCATATTTTGGCCTTACGTGTTTTATGGGAGAAATCCAAGGGCAATGAGAAAGCTTTATTTTGTGCGTTCATTGATTTGAAGAAAGCTTTTGATAATGTTCCTCGAAAGCTTTTATGGGAAAGACTACAAGACATTGGAATACCGGCTAATCTACTCGGAGCTGTGGCCACTTTATACACTTTAGTTCGAGCTAAGATTGATGCCTCTCAGCCTCAAGAGATCTCGAGCACCATTGGAGTTATTCAAGGTTGTCCTCTCTCTCCTACTCTATTCGGAATATTCATAGATGATATAGAAAGGTGGTTGGATGATTGTGAGAGTGAAGGAGTCAAACTTGGAGACTTTGTGATCAAAGCTCTTTTGTATGCAGATGATATCATATTACTAGCACGTGATGCAATTAGTTTACAGAAACACCTTGATACTTTGGCTAGCTTTTGTACTCGAAATCAGATGGAGGTCAATCTGGAAAAATCAAAGATCATTCTTGTGGGCACTAGATCCAAGTTCTCTCTCTTTTACAAGGGACTAGAATTGGAGCAAGTGAAGAGTTACAAATATTTAGGCATTGATTTTTCTCAGAATTATAGTTGGGCACTTTGTGTACAAAAGAGAGTAGAAGCTGGTTACAAAGCTCTATATTCATTGTTAAATCGATGTAAAAGAGCTCATCTAGTATCTTGGAGTCTTAGGAAATTTTTATTTAGGAGTTTAGTGTTGCCGGTGGTTCTATATGGGACACAAGTGTGGGGTCTTGGCAATAAGAAGACAAGTTGGGAGCGTGTGGAGAGGGTGCAAAAGATCTTCTTACAAGAAGAGTTAGGTGTAAGGAACCAAACTCCTTATGCTATTCTTCTTGCGGAAACCGGTTGTCTACCTCTTGAGGCTGAAGCTCTCTACTTGACCATCACTTATATTAGAAGGGTGAGATCTCTTGATGCTTCTCGACTTCCTCTTCATGCTTTGCGTGCCACACGTTCCAAGGGATGGTTTGCAGATGTGAGGACTTGGTCTTTGAGGTGGAATGTGACGGAATTGGATTGGGATCTGCAACCTATGGCCCTTCGCGAGCGTATTAAGGAGTAGTTTCCCAACATCATTCGGAGGAGAGGAGACACTAAAATGCAGTTTTATCAACTTCATGTGAATCCTATGCTTATTTATTGTGAGCAAGGGTATCTTGTTGCAGAGATTGCTACATCTTTACGTCATATTATTGCCAGGCATAGAACAGGATCTCATAGGCTTGGAATTGAGGAAGGACATTGGTTGAATATTGATAGGAGTGAACGGATTTGTAGGCTATGTGATGGGAGAAATGTTGAGGATGAAGAGCATGTGTTTATTACTTGTACTAGATATATAGAGATTCGAGTAGCGCATAAAGTTGATGTCGAGAATTTCTTTTCTCTGCTTCAACTCGAGCCTTATGATTTAGGTTGTTATATTAGAGATATTATTAGTTACCGTTCTAGTGCTTTGGGCATTAGCTATGGGGTTGTTTTGGTTCTCTCCTAGTTTGGAGTTGATTGTTTGTTTTGTGTTTTTTGGCCTATTGACCCTTTGGGTCCCACAGGCTTGATCTATTTACCATTTACAATAAAGGGCTTTTAACATTCACTATCCTGATCAAACATCAATGAGTATTGTCCTGTTTGGGACATTGCTGGTGGTTGGTTGTATGGACTTTCATTCGTTCCCTATTATCGTGAAAAACAACTTGAAGATTTGCCTAACGCACATTGAAGATATTATGGCATGATAAACTACCAAATGTTCTGACTTGAAACTTTCTTCTTTATTACTAGTACTACCATCTTTGGTAGCAGAAGTAAGACGTGTCGGGATTTCCAATTCACATCTCCGTCTTATGTAACTCACTAACTCGTTCCCTCCCGAAATAACATACATGTTGAGGGCTGCTGGAGGCGCACTCTCGAAAAAATGATCTCTTTCTGAATACGGTTTGCCTAATTGAATCTCTCATTTCCTCATTTCTACGACCATCTTTGCAAGCAGAAGGAAGCAAAATCTGTCTGGATTCCGTCGTTCCATCTAGATCTCGCTTACGGCAAGTTGTTGGTTCTTAGTCACTTACGTCTCTGCGCGGAAGTTTGACGCATCGTTGCATTTCTCTTACTGCGCAGTGCTTGATACAGAGGACGAAGACGAAGCGCCAAGAAGATGTCGAGCAGCAGCCCTAAGGCACACACTACTGCCATTATAGTGAAGAGCAGGCTAAAACAGTGGCTGCCCATGCAAGTTTTAGCAGAATCATCTCCCCGAGGCTGCTCGAGCAACCAGTTCGATAAAAGTTTGCCAAAACCGTTCGATCCTACGGGCAATTCCTTTGCAGCTTCACGATCGTAAAGAAACCCTGCTAGGAGTCCAGAGAAGAGGAAAGATCCCAAAGGAATGTTCAAAACAAGAATGTTGTACATCAGACCAAAATTTCTGAGACCGAACATTTCTGATGCCGTTGGAACCGTGATAGTAATGTGAACACCGTAAGCTGCACCCACGATAATAGAGCCGATATACAATGATCCTGGTCCTCCTGCTCCCATATACAGGTAACCGGCTATCATAAACAGTTTGGAAATCCCCATCCAAGCGGGTCTGGGCAAGCCCGATGTTCTGCATCACCAAAGTCCATCCGACATGTCAACTAATGACAGAGAACAAAACCAGAGAACTCCCCTTCCAATTCATATCACGATATACCCCAACAGACACAGGAGAAGATAATCAGCGAAATAAGAACTACCGTTATCACTTCAGAAGTTCTGAATTCGACTCAATCGATGAGTGAACAAGAAAGTTCTATAACATTACATCAAGGAAATTGAAGTGGAGGAATTGACTAACCTAACAAAATGTTCGGAAATGGCGCCCGCTGCAACTCTTCCGTAAAATCCAAAGATGCTGATGAAGGTAACAAAAATCGCGACGTCGCTTGTGCCAAGAGACTGCCCAATCTGCCCAAAGTTGTTCATGACTGTGATTCCGGTTCCAATTCCACACAAGAACGTGAAGAACAGCACCCAAAACTCTAACGTGAAAAGTGCCTCCCAAGCCGTGTGCTCGTCACCAAGTTTTAACGCTTTACTTTCATAGTGACCGAGAGAAACTGCTTCTTCCACATCGGCCACAGTGGCAGCACCGCTCAATACTGCTGAACTTTCTGCGCCTGTGGAACTCTCCACATGGGATTCAGTCTCTGAATCGTTGACACGAGCACCTTTTAACAGAGGCTCCTGAATTTCCTCAACAGATTTCTGGGATTTAGCAAGACTCAAGGAAGCGAGTGAAATACGCTCCAGGATCAATAGCCGAACAGGTACTACGAGAGGGAGCATCAAAAAGATGATGAGTCCAATTGCAAACAGTTTATTTAGAACTGGATAATTGTCGATGACCTCCGCTCCGATTGAGTAGGATAACAAATACAGAGAAAGAGCTCCTGCAATAATGTTTACAATGTTAAAGCCGGTTTGCTCTTCCCTGTCTTCCTTGGAGCTGGTGGACGAGGCAACAGGTTTCATAAAAACCATGGCAGTTGCATTCACTCCCAGCGGCAAGAGAGCGAGGAGCAGCAGAAAAGCAGAGCTGTTCCCCGTGAAAAGACTTGTACAGAGCACAGTAAAAATGGCTGTACTGAGACCTATGTACCCCTTCATTAGCCCTGATATGGTACCCCGATTCCCAGCAAAGTTGCGCAGACAAGTCACGAGACACGCGGTGTTCATCCAAGTGGTGCTGTTTCCTCCGAGACACATTGCGATAGCCATCTGCATACATGGTGGGTCTCCGCATCAGTCCCATGAAAACTAAGATACATCCAACATTGCAAATAATATCAAAGACAATGTTCACAAGCGTATAGTACGAAAAGGCTAATACTCAAGATTGTCCACACAGTCGCAACTTCTCGAAAAGGTTCCTCAAGACTCGTGACCCAAAGTTCGGACTCACTACTGTATTCAGAAACTGTCACCGTGTAGCAGAAACAGATGTAAAAAGGAACACCATATTAACTGTGCGCACTTCCGCAATACTCACGGCCTCTACCCACATGCAGGGGGCAAGTAATTCGTGACGCAACAAATGCCACCATGAAGAACACCGACCAGAAAAACATATAATGAGGGTGGCAACAGAGAACCAGGTAGAAGGATTGTCACACCTGCCACATTGGAGGAGGAGCGATTCTCTGACTCACGACGAGCCACTGGACGCCGTAGCCCACCAGACCGACCAGCGAGCCGATCATCAAAATAGCCCATGGAGGAAGCAGGTCAGCACAAAAACCTGCGACCAAACCGAAGCTCTTTCCCACGTCCTTGGAGACACTGAGCGTGTTGAGTTGAACCTGATCGTAGTCCATCACCTTCTTGAGATCCGCTGAATAATTGGCAAATGTGTAGTTGTTCCCCGATATGGACTGAACCCATATCGCTGTCACAAAGCCCATCCATTTCCAAATAATGATGGATCTTTGAGACTGCATTCCCACAGCCTCTCTGATACCCATGACGCAGTAACACGAGATCCAACCGGAGACTTAAATTCAAAACCTCTCACCCACACGCACACCTACATACAATTTCGCAACCCTCTCTCAGATGTCACCTGAGGACAAGTCAAATATCACACAAATACTCTTGACTGCTTATACTCGTCCCCTCTTATCGGCGCACAATCGAAAATTCGACAAATGATAAGCGCCACCTCAACGCGCGCCGTCCCTTCTCACTGGTAACAACTAGGACTGAACTTCACACAAAGGGACCCAGCTGCAGTACACAATAACCCCGACGGCGAGCGACTTTGCCACGAGCTGCCGAGGACAACACAACTGTACGGAAATATGTTGTTGTGTGACACCTTTCTCGCCTCCAGCCGTTCGTTTTGGCAAGTGCCTCCTCCTGCTGTCGCCACGACACGTAAGAAACAAACTCTCTGACTGATTCTCGCCGCTCTCCGTCATGCAATCCAATCCCACGACCGATTGGAGTTTCACCGCCCGCTATCAAGAACTCGTCCCGGGATATGTAATGCAGCTTTAAGCAGCTCCCGTCTGTGTTATAAGTGCGCTCCTAAGCTGCTTGAATATAACGTGTACCCAGCGCCCATCAGGTACGTTCGTGATGTACCCTGTGCTTGCCATGTCGAGTCATGAGTTCCGATGCAATGTAGACTGGATGTACCGCAGCCAAGATGTAGCGGAGTCGGTGTTAAGATACCGACTCCGCTACACGACGTACGCAAAACCTTGACCAATAAAAAGTGACGGCGGGCAGGTTCGTTCTCGTGACCAATCAGGTCGAGCGTCTGCAAAGCCGAAGCCTCCGACGCGGCCACGGATTATTCACTTACGGTTCTAGGTCCGCCTGGAACAGAGCAGATAGTTACTGGACTTGAATCTGGTGGCTTCGAATTTCTGCCGCAGTGACTTGGAAAGCGACCCGTTCGTTACCTCGACCCTTCGTTCAGGGATGCACCACAAAAGTCCGATCTGTTAAAACCCGAAGGCAGGAGTGGGTGGTCAAGTGGTGGTAGAACTGTTGATACTGTACATATATCGGTGGACTGATGCCTTCTGGTACTGTGCGTACCGACTTACGGTCGACTTTGGTTCGTATAGCAGGCAATAAACCTGCAAACAAATGATGACGACCAAAATACCGAGCATCATCAGTTCCGTTCGTATACCGACAAACAATTGCAAGGAAGCAGAAAGCCCGAGCATCATGGGACACACATCTTCGAGATTCAAGTTTCGATTTGAGTAGATAATTAAAAATTCATCCACTCACAGTTAAAATTTATTTGTAAATTGAAATAATTTAAATCTGATAAACTGAATAATAAATCAATTGAGAAATAAATTTGTATAATTAAATGTGTAACATAGAAAATTTGATGAAATGAGAGTCTCGTTATCTTTCATTTAGAGCTAATTAATCTTCACTCTACTATACGCAGTTCTATCATTGGCAGATGTAAGGTAATATTGATAAAATAGCAACTATATGGTGTTCCGACCACTCAAATAATAATGTGTATAGTAGAGGTAATTAGCCCTAAATGAAGTATAACTAACCCTTCACTTTGATGAATGGCAGTTTAAAGATTCCAAAACTTGGTCATTGCGGAATGTGAAATTTTTACACCAAAAATAAAATTATAAAATATTTAAAATTTTATTTGAAAAATCTTGATATATTTTTTTACAAAAATTCGTATATTTTTATTTTCTAAATCTAAATGCCTGCATGATCTAATTGTATTCTTCTTTTATCTCAAATGTGTTGTGCTAGTTTACCCTCCACAATGCGCTTTGCATAGATGTTTGATTGTTGCCAATATCATAAAACTTATTATGCACTACATGGCCAGATCCATCTATGAGCATATGTATATCATATGTGTTGTGAATGTGCATGAACATGTCTAATTTTTTATTTATCCAAAAGCTCTTACAAGTCTCGTCAACATTACGGCTATACAGGATTATTATCAAAATCTATAATCATAGATCTTATGCTGATTATTTCGTTTAGCATTCAATCAATTAAATCTTGCACGATTATGTTTAGCTTCTTGTAATGAACTTTCAAGAAATTCGTAGTATACAAACCACATATAATTAAAAATATTGATAACATTGCAAAGTTTACTGTTATACTCATCTAAGAACACTACAATATGATTCCACTAACACTACAATAAGCTTCAATTCCAATTTGTCGTAGAATATCTTTACTACTTTCTACTTTAAAAAAAACATTCATCTAATGCATTTCATTGTTTTTTACATGGATGAATGAGGTTGTTTTTCTATAGATTCAACTTTTTTTAACATATTATTTTTAATAACATAGGTTTGCAACCTTTATACATACTTTACCTTTAGAGATATAGTTGAATATACTATTATTCTACTAAATTTCATACTTATAATCTTAATCAATCGATCAGAATTTTATGCATCACAACTTACTGTATGATTGTATAAAGTAAAGTTTCATTATAAAGTTAGTTGTATTTATGTCCATCCCTTCAATAATCAGATTTTTAACTTTTGTACGATTGTGCATTCGAATTGATAATATTACTTTTAATCAGGTTTAAGATTTTTGAACTCTAAAATACAAAAATTAACTTTAAAAGCAGATATTTTCAATATTTATTTCAACAACTAACTCTATATTGTTTATAGTGGATGATGCTACTTTCAAAAAAATCAGATTATGCACCAAAAAATTTCATTTATAATCATATGATCAAACATCAAATCAACATAAATAGACAAAAATATATAATATTTATTTAAATATTATCATTGTTCACATTTTCTAAAACATCAATGATTTGATAATGTGAATTTTAGATTGGATACATTAAAATTATTGGCACATATTGTATAAATATATAGAATTAGTAAGCAAATTTATAATGAGCTACTTTGTTTTTCATACGATAGAGACACATGCTAAGTACAAAAAATGATCAGAATATTGTCTTTGCTTTTTAACATATTTTGTTTAAAAATTTTCTTTACTAAAAGCATAATTGAGTTTTTTTCAAGTGTTTAGATTACTATGAATTTTCATATAATACGTAAAACTAATTTGATCAAATTTTCTCATGTGAACTAATGAAGTATGATATTAAGAATAACAAATATTATGCTTAAAATTTTAGTTGTTTAGCAACCACAATCATGCACTTTTTTTTATTGAAATTGATGAAGCAAAGATATAATATAATGATATTGATCTTATAATTAATATCATTATCATTAGGTATATCATATTAATAACAATGAGAGTAATGGATCTCATAGGCTTGGAATTGGTAAATGGTAAATAGATCAAGCCCCGTGGGACCCAAAGGGTCAAAAAAGTAAATTGGGCCAAATTGAGTAAATACGTTGGTTTAATATTGATAGGTGTGAACCTATTTGTAGATTATGTGACCGTAGGTATATACCTAAGGTCACATGTACTTGAGTATGAAGAGCATGTATTTGTTATTGTCTTAGTTACAAAGAGATTAGGCTTCTCATAATATAGATGTGGAAATTTTTTTAATCTTTATTACCGTTAGTTGTTTTAAACTTAGGTTGTTATACATCATTAGTTACCAATCTAGTGCTCTTGACACAAGCAAGTGATTGATTTTTGGGATCTTTTTTCTTGTTTGTGGTTTTTCGTGTGTATTGTATTTTTCAGCATTTTAATCCTTTGAGTCCCGTACTTGATTTAGAATCATTTATCATTTAATGAAAAGAAAAAAATAAAAAAATGTGTGAAATTTTTTTGGATTCTTAAAATAATTGAAAAATAAAAATAAATTTTACTTAAATATGAATGAATTGATTTTTTGGTATTAAAATTTTTTGTTATAAATTGAAATTTTTTTAACTTAAACTATCCTACAATGAAAATAATATAAAATCTTATACATAAATAGTTTATGGTAATAGAACAAGCCAAGGGATTCAAAGGTTTAAAAGGTTGAAGAACACATAAAATTAATATTTAGACAAATATTACTAACAATCATCTTTTCGTATGCAAAAAATCATATTCATATATATTATAGATTTAATAATTTTCTTATGTCAAGATATGCAAAATCATTATTTTGAATTGAATATATATATTTTTTTAAATTTTATTATATCGTATTCATATATTTTAATTTTCATTTCATATAAAATTCTATTTTATTAATTTTATGTATTAATGTATTATTACTGATTTATTATTTAAAAAATTTTCTAATTTTTTTACTGAATTATTTTTGATAAAAAATATAACTAATATAAGGATAATTAAAGATATTTAAAAGTAAAAAAAAATGAGAAGTAAAAAACATCAAATAAAAACATAGTTGTACTTTTAAATTCATAAAATGTAACTTTTGAAATTTCAGAAAATTGAGAAATCTAATCATCATTGTATGAAGAAAATATAAATTAGCATATGAGTTTGAATGAAGTTAAATCAAGAAAAAATTTAAAACATAAAATATGAAAATCAATAAGAATATTCACTAAAAATAGATAAATAGTATATCTTTTCTTCAAATATAATAGTTTGAAGTATGTTAGTTTTGAACACAGTAACGTACTACATATTATTAAAGTAATCAACTTGTTATATGTCAAATCTTATATAAATAGATAAAAATAAAATAAAGAAATGTTGATTATGAAGATCATGTATTCATTATAATGTTCAAGGTAGTGAGGGGGAGTCAAGGCAGGGTACGTGGTTTGATTCAATGCTATGTTAGTGGAGAGTAGGAGGCGAAGTCAAAGGTTGGGAGTTAGACTGGTAAGAGCAATAAAGAATCAAATTTGAATTTTTTTGAAAATTACAGTTGGAACCTTTACTTTTAGATAGTATCATGTCACTATTGCCAACACTCTTCTTATTCGATAGATTTACAAGTTAAAACCTAATAGTTATTGACTTCTATGTCACTATTAAGAGGTTACATGAATTAAAGTAGTGTATATAATTACGTGATTGATTTTCAAAATTGATATAAATTTTTAATAACAATTTAAAATTATTAGAAAATTATTATATAATTTAAAATAATTTAAAGGAGGGAATTTTAAAAAATTCGATTAATAATATTTATTTTGTTATATAAATAATTGATTTTGAATACAAAAAAGTAATCAATTCAAAGTTATACAAATATTTGAAAAATTGTTCATTTTCAAAAAGTTTTCAAATAAATTAATAGATAAAATTTTTTAAGTTATAAATTTTAGTCTAATTTTTAAAATTATGATAAGATATTTTTTTATGATTATAGCTAAAATTTTAAATATAAATTTTATATTGAAAAAATATTATTAAAAAAATTTAAATGTGATCATGGATGTAATTAAATACTTCGTTAATATTTTGAAAAAAAAAATACTTAATTTATTCAAAATCATCACAATAATATACATTCTATGCATATATACAGTTAATATTCAATTAAAATTTGTTTGATGATGAAATTGATTAATCCTTATCCATTTACCATTTACCATTAAAAATATACAATTTTATCATAATCACTCGAGAATAATATTTTTAAGTAATTATGATTTATCAGAAATTAATTTTTTTTCTGTATAAATTGCTTGTGATCAAATTATTTGA